ATTAATTAATAATGTTATAGGCCACTAACATTATTTTATTGCACTCTCTTTTCCTAGCCCAAATTACAACTGAGACTCCAATAATAATTACCAGAATTAGCTCTCATATTTAAGATATAATGTCCATTAATTAATTCAATTACTGATAATCAAGAATTAATTAACATATTATTATTTCACTGAAGCTAGCGCTTGTTCATTACATTATTACTATGCCAGAATTTAATCCACCTGCAGGTTCAGCATAATAATCCTTCATGAACTCACTTCGGGGAAATCATCAAACTAAACTAACATGGTGACCGTAAATATCCTAACAACACATCATACATACAGTAATATTACCCTAAACAATAGGAATATTAATTTAGCGAACTGAACCTCACCCATGTGAATCAAAATAATAGATATTGCATATATATGTCAGTTTAATATCTTACGAGTTAAGAGAATGCAGTAATTAACCGAGGCCTAGTTCGTTTACGACGATCATTGTAAAATGAACTTCTCCTCTCTGGGATCCTATTCAATACATAAATGTACTAGTGCAACTAACAATTAAGACAAACTGTACCGTTGACACTGCAACCATTTGGATGGGGTTTTCATTTCCATCTAGGTTGTGAACCACAATTCTTGCTGCACAAGTAACTGATAGAATGATCTTCGGTTCGCCCGATGACGACCCATTCTATCTAAGTGCAACACAACAGAATATAGAACTTGTTTAATCTAACATGATTGTCATTCATAAAGGGTAAAATTGTAATATCATCCCAAGCCAAGCTTTCAGTATATAACACTAACAATCTCTCACTTATACTTAAAGCTTTCGCTTTTACATGTATAGTCCTATCAATTCGTTATTCTAAAAGACCTATGTCGATACTATAGCCATGCACCTGACTCTCATTCCTTCCACGTGTTTAACGAGGACCTTCCCAACTATATTTCGTATCAGATGGTATTTGCGCTCTATGTATTTACTTGCTCTGTGGGCTCGTGGTTCCCTTGAGTTCGCTACTGCTCCACTGTTATCACAGTGCACGGTGATACAACATGGCAAACTCAGAATCACCTCTAAGTCCACTAAGAAGTTTTTGAACCATACTGCCTCTTTTGCTGCCTATTTGGCTGCTTTACTCGGCTTCCATGGTTGAGTCTGCCATGCATTTCTGCTTAGCACTCCTCAATGAAATGGCTTCACCTCTCAAGGTGAACACATAACATGAGGTTGACTTACTCTTGTATCTGTCTGACTAGACATTGGAATCAGTGTAATATAAAGTTAACAAGCTGTCTGCACGGTAAACGAACATGTACTCCTTATTCCTTCTCAGGTACATGAGTATATGTTTCACCGCAGACCAATGTTTCCGTCTCGGATCACTTTGATATCTAGCAACCATGCCAACGGCGTAGCTAATATCAGACCTCGTACACTGCACAACATACATAAGACTTCCTACTGCCGAAGCATAA